AAAGACTCTAAAATCTTCCACACTATCAAGAATAGGATCACAACATCAATATTGTCGTTTAGACACTAAAATCATCCAAAACGAAAATGGACCAATTTTTAGAGTCAAACAAAATTTGTGGGATGCGTACTAGAAATTCTAGAATTGACTCTATCGAAAGGTTCTAATATATTCCTTGAACTTATGTCCCAAAATAGTACACAATACGAGGCTTAAAGATAAGCTAACACAACAACACCATGAAAACTCAAATTAAAAGAGAAAAGGCAGCAACTTACCGGAGAAATTCACTTCAAACAGAGTATTACCGACACAATACAATCCCTCCACCACGTAGTCCGGACAACTATGAACACATGGCATTTCAAATCACCTAAATCGGAGTTAAAACAAAGGAAAAACCACAAAAATACTAATGACGCCAAGGCTGCCTTACGACCAGCCTTAAATAGAGAGGCCAGGTTGGTGGCCAATCGCGAATGCGGACGACAGCGTGCATATACACACACCCATGGTGTAAGCCTGTCACACCCAAAATCCCATTAAGGCGGACCAGCACCCGTTGCCGAGAAGGCTCGGGAGGACCAACCTATAATCATGCTCTATCTATGAACATTTAAAGGTGTTGCAATAGTGGATAACATGTTTTCATGAAAGTAGACAGTATTAACAAGCCAAAAGAAAGTGCACATGACTTGGCCGTTGGGGCCATGATGTCTAAGACACGAGACACAACCACACTTCACTATACATAGTCTACAAAGCCTCTAAATGATAAAACATTATGGGGTTAAGGTCGAGACAGGCCCCGCCTTACACTCAACTACTATACAATACCAAAATACATGCTATAGACTCGGAAAGCCCCGAATCAACCTGGAGCTCACCAATAGCCGCTGGATGTTCTGTTATCCTATTGGGGAATCTACTAGCTCCCGTACCTGCAGCATTAATTGTAGGTCCCCTGAGAGAGAGACGTCAGTATGGGAGAATGTACTGAGTATGTAAGGCATAAAGTACTGTATGTGAAATAAGAACTCAAATGAAATCATATACCAATGTAAGGATACAAGACCACCTTTTCTCATATTATGGAATCAGGTACTTTACATTCTTTTCTTTACTTTATCATTCTTTACTTTACACTCTGTGCACATCATATAATACAAATGACCAGCTGATTAGTGGTAGACATATAATTCGGGATCGACCCATGCTAGGCTTTCCTTTAACCCCTGGGATACCACCCGTAATATTGGGATCGACCCATGCTAGGTGATTCTTCCACCCCTGGGATACCACCCATCAATAAGCAAATTCATTTAATATCTTTCTGTTAACATTTGAGATGATTCTTTTGGTGGTCATAGTATTTTGAGTTGTGGGACTATGTAGTCAACAAGTGACGTGTAATAATCATATAATGCAAGAACAACAACGTAGAGAGTAGTTACACAATTAGTGAAATGCATAGGAGCTGAAATAATATATGGACCTTGTTTAGTTAAAAGGAGAACTCATGCAGGGTATTCAATGTATATGTACAGAATTGACAATGAACATGCATTGGAACATGCAGACATGCTAAAGAGTGAGAACAAGTTCATAAGTCATGTTGGAGCTGGTAGGTTGCCTCTATGTGTCGAGGACGAGTGATCAAACAATCCGTACAAGTAGGCGAGTTACACAAGCATCTTTAACGTCTTAAAGGATACCAACACGACAATGTAAAGTGACAAGAGGTAACCAAGGTACCAAGATCAACTTTCAGATATACCAGCAGTTAAAAGAGTGCAAGTACAAGTTTATACACAAACCTAAGTGCTTTAGCAAAGAAACAGTCCAACACAACTTCGCCAATTCAGACCGTAAACCAACCAATGCTTCAAGGTCCTTAACTTGTTCACGAGTATATACAACCTAAAAAATACAATTAAATAACTTCTTTAATTCCTAGCAACTCAATAATGTTGATGTAAAATAGGATTATCATCACAAGTAAGCTTGGCCTGTACAAATACGAGTATGCTCCCAAAACAGTAATTCTGGCCAGCCTAGTACCTCATGTCACAACTTAGATTTGAAAAGGAAAACGGCAAAACTAGACTTTATAACCTTCTTGAAAGATGTAGATACATCTCTTAGGGTTGCAAAAAAACAAAAATCACCAAAAAATATATTTTGTATAAGAAGATATATTCAAAACACTAACAGTTGTTCATACAGGATTTGTAATGTCAAAATCTGGACAGAACTTGTCCTATGTTGCGTCCCATATTTCGAATTAATAACAGCTAAATTAGAGTTTTACATAAACATAAGAGTTGTAGGACTACGAATTAGCTTTCCAAATCATATTTATTCACTGTAAAATAAGTTCTAGGGAAAGAGATATGCATAAGATACCAAACACTACCCAGCTCAAAAACAAATTTCGCCACTTACCAAAAGAAGTGTGTGTCTCGAATTCCAGCCAAAAGGGCCAAGTTTTTATCTTGTGATTTTGAAGAACAACTTGTTAGATAATGTTCTAAGGTTATTATACTTGAGGTGAGACGAATTTTACTAGAAGAGGTGTCAAAATATAGTCTCAAAAGTGAGTCTAGTCACATGTACAATTGTCACTAAAAGGGCTGCCCAAATAAAAGTAGGCTGCCCAAAAAGAATACATATATACCTATATGTATATACCTAATACCAACACTTTCAATTTATATGTAATTATAATTAGAAAATTGCGTAAATACCCCCATACAATACCTTAAATTACAATCACAATTATGTTAAGCAAGGTTGCAAATATCACAAAATTTCAAGTTCCTAAAATGAGAATAAAACATATTCTAGTAATTAAGCAATGGTGTATCAACATGCGAATGTTGGTCTAGTATTTAGGGGTATTACAATCTCTCACCCATTAAGAAATTTCATCTCGAAATTTACCTTAAACTAATCCTGAAACAAGTGCGGATACTGGGTCGTCATGTCTTCTTCTCTCTCCCAGGTAGCTTCCTTCCCAGAATGGTTCCTCCAAAGTACCTTTACTAAGTGGATTCTCTTGTTTCTAAGTTGCTTTATTTCTTAAGCTTCAATTCGGATAGGTTCTTCATTATAAGTCAAGTCAAGATTAACCTCAATAGATTCAACTGGAAGAACATGCGATGGATCAGAACGATATCTTCTGAGCATAGAAACATGAAAGACATTATGGATCATGTCTAACTCCGGTGGCAATGCTAAATTATATGAAACTAGCCAACCCTTTCAAGTATCTCATAAGGTCCAATAAATCGGGGACTAAGTTTTCCTTTTTGGCCAAATCTCATAATCTTTTTCCATGGAGACACCTTTAAGAATACTTTATCTCCAACTTGATATTCAATGTCACACCTTTTAAGAGCAGCGTACGACTTTTGTCTATCCGAAGAAATCTTTAGACGATCCTTGATAATTTTTACCTTGTCCTCTGCTTGTTGCACAATTTCAGGACCAACAAGCTATCTTTCACCAACTTCACTCCAACAAAGAGGGGTCCGACATTTTCTTCCGTATAGGGCTTCATAGGGAGGCATTCCAATACTAGATTGGTAGCTATTATTATAAGCAAATTCAATCACTGCCAAGTGTTTGAATCCCAACTACCCTCAAACTCCATAATGCAAGCTCGAAGCATATCCTTCAAAAATTGTATCACTCTTTCCAACTGGCCGTCTGTTTGAGGATGGAACGAACTGCTAAATTTCAACTTAGTACCCAAAGCTTCCTGCAAAGCTACCCCAAAATCTAGATGTAACCCTTGGGTCTCGATCAGATACAATAGACACAGGGATCCCATGCAGTCTTACAATCTCATTAATGTACAACTCGGCTAAACGCATAAGTGAGTAATCCATTCTGATTGCTAAGAAGTGAGCACTCTTGGTTAGCCTGTCCACAATCACCCATATTGGATCATGATTTCTCTGAGTGCGAGGAAGTCCAGAAACAATGTCTGTAGTTACTCTCTCCCATTTCCATTTCGGCATCGACAAGGGTTGTCGTAAACCAACTTGGACTTGATGTTCTGCCTTTACTTGTTAACAAACCAACATTTGGAAATGAACTCCGCAATGTCTCTCTTCATACCATTCCACCAATAATGTTTTTTGATGGTCTGGTACATCTTTGTACCTCCAGGAAGCATTGCATATGGTGAAGTATGTGCTTCATTCAGTATTTTTCTCCTCAATTTGTCATTATTAGGGACGCATAACCTGTTCTGATAAAATAAGACACCCTCCTCTATTAATGTAAAATCAAGCTTTTCCCCATTTTGAACTTCCCTGGTCAGTTTTACCAGTTTCTCATCTAACTTTTGTGCTTCTTTCACCTGTTTAAGTAATATTGGCTTTACTTGTAAAATTAGCAATAACTGAACCATTTGAATCAAGTGTGAAACAAACATTCATGGCTCTTAACTCAAGGAGCAAGGGTAAAGGACTCAAAGAAATGCTTGCAAAGGATTTTCGACTTAAGGCATCTGCAACCACGCTGGCTTTACCTGGATGATAATCAATCGTGCAGTCATAATCCTTGATGAGTTCAAGCCATCTACGTTGTCTTAGGTTTAGCTCCTTCTGAGTACCCAAGTACTTTAAGCTCTTGTGATCATTAAATATATGATATTTCTCTCCATACAAATAATGTCGCCATATTTTTAAACAAAAGACTATAGCAGCAAGTTCAAGATCATGAGTTGGATAATTCAATTCATGCGATTTTAATTTTTGAAAGGCATAAGAAATAACCTTCCCTTCTTGTATCAAAATGCATCCTAGACTATTGTGAGAACCCAAAGGACTTTCAACCAGCACATCATAATTAAGTCTCATAGATTTCACATTTTCAGGAAGAACAAGTGATGAACAAACATAGGAATGTGTAGAACTAGGATCAAACAGTGTAAACACACATAAGCCAAATAACTTAAATTTACCGACAACCACGTCTTCTCCATCTTGCTAATCCCTGTGCCTCATAGCATAAGCGCGTGCAGTAGTCCTTTGTCCACTAACTTGATTAACTCCACTTGTACATGCTGCTTGGGTGTTTTTAGGTCTTGCACCTCTATTAGTTTGAGGAGGATTAATAGAAGGCTTATGAACCGAGCCTTCAATTTTCAAGGAAGAAGCATTATTAGGATTAGGGCAGTCCTTCACTTTATGATCAAAGCTCCCACAATTGAAACATGCACCAGAAGCTCTCCTGCAAGTACCATAATGATTCTTTCCACATTGCGTACAAGTGGGAACACGAGGCTTGCCTTGGCTATAATTTGGAGTGCTAGCTGTAGAAAAATCTGATATGTTTTGCTTTTGTTGCGGTGGTCTGTTATCACTATCAGCCTTAGAATTATCAAACCTTCCCCTTTTTGATGGACCCCCAAAATCTGGTCTAGGCTTTCGGAATTTGTTTTAATTTCTACTAGTTTCTTCTTTATCAAGTCGTTATCAAGTAAAAGCAGCAGACACTAACTTACAAAAGTTCTTATGTTGCAGGATCGCCACATTCTTCATAATGGAATCATTTAAACCATCTTCAAATTTCCTGCACTTGTCTTTTTCCTCTTTAATAATATCTCCAGCATAGCAAGAGAGTCTTAAAAACTTCTGTTCGTATTCAGCAATAGACATGCCTCGTTGCCTTAGATTCAAAAACTCCTTTTTCTTTACATCACAATAAGCAGGTGGGACATACTTCATACGAAATTCCTTAAGAAAATCATCCCAAGTAAGAACCGGAGGTTTTACCTTGGAATTTGGAACACTTAACCACCAATCATAAGCATCATTTTGTTAAAGTGAAATAGCATACTTAAATTTGGCAAACAAGTCAAACTTGAGTTTTATTTTCGCAGATTTCGTTGGGAAACAAGTTCGCGACGCGAAGGTGTTCCCACAAATTTTCTGGAAATTAAATTCGAGACAGTAGAGTCTGCGACATGTCCGCGACGGGGACCAAACTTTTGGCCCTTGGTGGAGCTAGTCCGCGACGCGGACATGCTCCCTCCAAGCACAACTTCAAGCTGCCTTGGCAGCTTGCTTGGCAAAGGTTGGGGTCCTTCTCGGGGACCCTTAGGGTGGCCCCCGGGGAGTCGTATCCGAACATTTTGACCCTAAAAACATTTATTAAGACACTAGGGTCACCTCCACTGATTTTAGACTCCAAACAACACATAAAAACATGAACAACATACTAGAACACACCAATATGTAAAAGGCTAGTTTTCGAACGTCTTGGTCATCCCTTGACGTTTGACTTCCAAACTCTTTACAGCTGACTAAAAATGTTATTTTTCATTATTTTAACAAGTTATAAATGCATAGAACCCATGTGAGGCTCTACTTTATCCTACTTTATTTTGAGGGTTGTTACAAAATTGATAATTTTTGAACGTGGAGTGGTGGGGTGCTTATGAGCACAATCGTGGTGACATGAGGGGTGTGGTTTGATGTGTAATGGTAAAAAAGAACAAGAATCAAGGTAAAATCCCTAAAAATTTGTAAGAGATAATTATGGTAAATTCTTTATTTATATTGTTTAATAATAAATATAAAATTATAAAATACTAAATATTTAATAAAATTAAATTAAATTGATTTATAAATAAAAAGTGATATGTTATAACTTGTAATTAAACTGTTATAAACAAGAATATTTTAAAAGTAGATTTAAAATCTGTAATATTACCTTTAATTATATATGTCGGGTGATTTTTCCGAAATAAAGATGGGTATATAAGTAATTTTTCGTATAAGATTAGCCCACCCCCATAGTTTCCGGAAAGGCCCAAACCTATTCTAATTTTTGTGGTTCCTGCCGGCTGGTTCAGGGTGGCGCCACTGTCTCCGCAACGGTAACAACAATCACTGCCAAGACTAACGGTGTCTCCCATGGCTGCGTCTGCTTGTACAGTTCACAGTTTCTCTCATCCCCATGTAGCCTTCACATCCCAATGCATCCCAACCCTATCTACTCCCAACAATAAAACTTTGAGTTTTCCCAGATACAGAAGCAACACTGTTGCTGTCACAGTTCGCTTTTCGACTAGAGCAGCAAAGAGTGACAGTAGTGACAAAAGGAAAGAAGTTTTGGAAGAAGAGGAGGAAGAGGAGCTGCCATGGATACAAGAGAAAGCATTAGACCTGGTTGAGTTTACCGGTTCTGTGACTCAGGCAATTCCTGGCCCTAGGATTGGATCTACCTCTTTCCCATGGATTCTTGCGGTGCCCTTGACTTACTTTGGCATCACTTTTGTCATTGCCTTCGTCAAAACCGTCCGCAAGTTCAATTCACCCAGGGAGAAGCGTAAAAAATTGGTATCACAACTTCCCTTGTTTACTCATCCAATTATATTATCACATTTAATATTTATTACGATACATAGATTTGTATTTCCACCATTTGTCCTTGAAATTTTAAGTTGCTTCTCACTGTCTTCTGAGTTTTAGCTAGTTACTTTTTGGAAAATTAGTACACCCTTGTCTATATGGTCAAACCCTTGATGAGTCTTCTTGGAAGCAAGATGTTGATTATATTATATTAGAAAGGACTAAGTTGGAAGCTATTGTAAGGAACATAATTATATACAAACATTTCCTTCTCAAAAGGAAGAGGTTAATAAACATATCTACCTGGCTAAAGTGGTCCAAATGTCCTTTTGATGACAGAAATGAAATGCCAGCCTTGCTGATGCACATTTAATCTTTGTATTTTCTCAAAGTATATTACACTTCTTGAATATAGTACTGCAAATCTGAAGTTTCTTATTACCAGTTTACCTACTGGGAAGATATTCTGTGTTTGCCATAATATCATAGCTTAAGAATATAATGTGTGAATGTGATCAACTTCTCTTATTATAGAATATGGTCATTTCGTAGAAGGGGAAGTATTGTGCGTTTCTTGATGAACAGCCTGACAAGTACAATTTTTTAGGTAAACAAAAATGCTGAGCTATGCAAGTCAATCGATGAGTTATTTGAGAAAGGAAAAGATTATGTTGAGCCTTCAACTTTGAAGGGACTGGCACAAAAGGTATGATGTGTTGTCTATATTGCTATCTTTAGCTTAATTTGACATGACATCAAGTCCTTCTCCCTGGTACAACATTTAGCTTTCCTTGGTTTTAGCAGTAGTCTTTTAAAATCTCATTTATTCCTTGTATGTTCTGGATTCGGAGTTATGTCTTATCTAGTTGTGACACAGAGATCCTGCCTGGACTGGTTTAGAACATTATTTTGGTTTAAGCTTAAGAATATTACATTTTAACTATTGTACTGTACTATTGTCAATTAGAAGTTTCTAGTTCTAGGTCATAATTACCAATCAAAATAACTAAGTAAAAATTTGATTCTAGGTCATAAACTTATCTTGTAGTTAGTGCTTGTTTGGATTGACGTATTTTAAGCTCTTTTAAGAAAAAACAGTTCTAGGGAATAGGGTCTAATATACCCTTCAATTTTGCTATTTAGAGCTGATATACCTACGTTACAAAAATGACTCATATACATCCTTACCGCTGCAAAAGTGGCTCACATAGACTCCTATTGTTACAAAAGTGGCTCACGTATATCCTTTTCATCTAATGGGGGTGAAAAAAATAACTTTAATTGTCTTTTGATTGTAAAAAAATCCATGTAGGGATATATATGATCTTTTTCACACATGAATTATTTTTTACTTATTTGATTATCATTATTTGAGTTTCTTATTCTTATTTCATTTTTTTAATTTCATTCTTATTGTAAAAATACGAGAAATAAAAGAAAGAAATGTGAATGGAAAAAGAGAAAAATATAAGAATTTTTTAAAAACTAATATTTTTTGTGGCAATATTGTGATTTTAAACTAATTTTTGTCTATATTTTAATTTAAGTTTTTGTATTTGGAAAAAATATTGGGCCATCTATAATAAATTTTACGAGAAAATTGGTGAAAAATAAATTTGACCATTAAAATAAACCTGTTGAATCAACGAATTAAAAATAATACGTGTTAAAAGAATCAAATATACCCCTATATGGATTATTTTTTAAATAAAATTATTAATTTAAAATTATTTTTTTCACTCCCGTTTGAGGAAAAGGGTATATGTGAGTCATTTGTGTAACATTAGAGGTATATATGAACCACTTTCATAACGAGGGTGTATCACCTCTAAATGACAAACTTGAGGGGTATATTGGGCCTTTCCCCCTAGTTTTAATTTCTTGAGTGTTTGGGTAAATTAAAAGTGCTTATAAGCACTTGGTTGGTTTTAAGCTAAACTGATCAATATAAGCCAAAAGCTATAAGTTAGAAATTCTAACTTATGGCTTTTGACTTATAAGTGAAAAGCCAATCCAAATAGGCACTTTGTTGCGGATTATTACTTGTAATTCTCTCTTCATGGTCATGAAGGGTATACTTTGATCAATTGTTCAACACGAACCTGGACTATAACATTTTCGATATACACACGTTTGTGAATGATAGAAATTGTAGCTATTCTCGTAGAACTAGAACATCAGAGGTAATGAATGCCATGAAAATATATGAATTAGAAAAGCTAGTGGCCTAGATAGTATTAGTGTGGAGGTTTGGAACAATGTTATCAAAGGTGCGTTAAAGCCTAGAAGCGAGACTCAAAACGTATTGAGCGCTTCGTCTCGCTTAATGTGCACTTCAATTTCGTCATCAAGGTTCTAAGTCATAATTTTCCTTGCCAACATTCATACTTGGTCTAAACATATAGATTTGTATTTTTCTCCCTTTGCTCACTTTTTCTTTAATGCCCACACTTTATTTGCACTTAAAGCCCCAATAGACCTTAGAGCTTTTTTGCACCTTTTGCTTTTGATAGCACTGGTTTGGAAGTGCCTTGGAGGTTAAGGAGTGGAACAATTTACCACGTTATTCAATGCTATACTAAGAAGTGGTAGGATGTCCAATGAGTGGAGGAATAGTATCTTGGTTCTGATTTGTAAGAACAAAGGAGATATTCTAAGTTTTGCGAACTATTGAGCCATTAAACTCATGAGCCATACGATGAAGCTCGAGAGATATAAGTAGAATGTGTCATTCACGTCTTTAAATTAAAATTGGTGACATTTACTTGGTCAAATGGGATTAATCTTCTTTTTCTCTTTTTGGTCCTTTTACGAACTATTTTGCTTTGATTTTGAAAATTTTGAAGTTTGTTTAAAGTCATTGAAGAAAATCTGCAGAAAATTAAGCTACTATGATAGTTATTGCAGCAACTGTTGAAGTTGTTGCAATAACTACGATAATTGCTACAACAACTAAATAGTTGCTATGATAAGTGTTGCAGCAACTATTGTAGTTGTTGCAACAGGTATCATAGTTGCTGCAACAACTTTAGCCGTTGTTAAAATTGTTGCAACAACTTCAACCATTGTTTGAATTGTTGCAGCAATTGTTGAAATTGTTACAACAACTTAAGTATAGTTGTTGTGACTACTTCAATAGTTTAATTTTTTGACAAAAAGTGAGGTGAAGGAGAGGCTGGTTGTGGCGGTGAAGGAGGTGTTGGTATTGGTAGTGACAACAAAGAACGAGGTGGTAGTTGTTGTGGTGGTGGTGGTGAAGGAGAAGGAGGTGGTAATGGTGGTGGTGAAGGAGGAAGAAAAGGAGGAAGTGGTGGTGGTGGAAATGGAGGAAGAAGTGGTGGTGGTGGGGGAAGAAGAGGAGGAAGTGGTGGTGATGGAGGAAGAAAAGGAAGAAGTAGTGATGGTGGAGTAAATGGAGGAGGTTGTGGTGACGACAACGGTAGAAGGGGAGGGGATGTGGCGGCAAAAGGGTGGGGAGGGGGAGGGAGGGGTAATGAGGAAGATAGGTCTTTTGTGTAAACAATAAAACTTGCGAGTTTTAAAATTAGTGTCATTAGCACTAATCTTAAAATTGTCCACTTCACTTATTAAGACTCGTGTCAATTTTTCTTAATTTTGTAACTCTTTTGTCACCCTTAATTATTTTTCCCATGGAATTCTGGGGAAATGTGATAGAGTGTAGACTTAGAAACACAACAAGAGTGAAAGAGGGTTGGTTTGGATTAATGTCTGCTAAATCTACAACAGAGGCTATATTCTTACTAGTAAGATAGATGGAAATCTCTTGCTAAAAAGATAAAAGACCTACCCATAATGGTTATTTATCTAGAGAAAGCATATGATAGAGTACCATACAAGGTCCTTTGATGTGTGATGGAGAAGAAGTGAATCTATGTTAAGTATATGAATGTCATGACATGTGTGACAGAGCTGCCACTGGAATGAAAACAGTGGTAGGTGATACAAAGTAGTGTCCCAGAATAGTTGGTTTACACCAGGAATCGACATTGAGTCCCTACTAGCTTGCTGTAGTTATGGACAAACTAATGGTTGAAATGGAGAAGTGCTACCATGGTGTTATGTGATAGAAGGATACCTTTCAAAGAGGACACCTTTCAAAGTGACAGGTAAGCTTTATAGAACAACTATAAGACCGACTATGTTATACATGAGCGAATGTTGGGCTGTTAAAGTCCAACATATCACGATGAGTTTGCGGAGATGCGAATGATAAGATTGATTAGATAGAATTAGAAATGGCCACATTCTACTAATAGTGCAAGTAGCGCACATTGAGAATAAAATGAGGGAAGGTCACTTGAGATGGTTTGGATATATTTTGCGTCGACCTATAGATGCACCGGTCCATATGTGTGAAACTATGGTAAGTTAAGGTGTTAAAAGGGGATGGGGTAGACCTAAAGTTACACGGAAGGAATTGGTCTCAAAAGATCTGCAATTGCTTGGAATCAAATCAGACTTAGCTATAGATAGGGAACAATGGAAGAAAAAGATCCATATAGGTGATAGCTACTTGTTGAGGATATATTTTAGATTCGTACGAAACTTTTATTACTATTGTTGTTGTTGTTGTTGTTATTATTACAATTAATATCATTTATATATATATTTAATGTATTTCTCACTTACTTTTTATTTGTATATATATATATATATATATATATATATATAACATGTCTTTTTCCACCTTTATTTATTTGTTATTATGGTGAAATGAGCTTAAATGACAAAATGAGGATTCCTATAGTCAACCACAACTTATTTGGGACTGAAGCGGAATTGTTGTGGTTGTATGTTTTTCCTTCTCCTTCTTTCCTCCCTTTGCTAAAATGGGTTGTGTTATCTTATAATTTCATGTAGATATGTCTTACCACAAAGTAGTTAGGAGAGCTTTTGTAGAATCTGACCAACTAGTTTGCACTTTTGACAATCTTCTTCTGCTAGGAGCTAATCATTTGGATTACTTTAACTTTCTAGTTAGCTTTTACTCTATTTTTTTTCCTGTTAAGGGTAACAGTATGTTAATATCAGCTAAAAGGCTGTGCTGGAGCCATATTTACAATTCAAAAATCTACACAGAGTAAGCCAATAAATTGTTTAGTTATTTTATTTGACAAGGTTGTAAATTTCTGACTTGAAGCTTAATGCTTCTGGAAATTTCTGTCTGGGAAGTTATTGAACAGGATGATAGAGTAGAATCAATCCCTTTTACCTTTTCCTACCCTTAGCGGTTGTGATAAACTCTTTCTCGGCGCAATGCCTCTGTAACTTTTCTTCAATATCTTCAGTAATATACTTCCCTTGTAAAGTGACTGCTACTTCTACCTACAACTTGGCATCTTCTCAAGGTACTTGATTGTTGCTTGTGGCATTGAATTTTTGAATTAGAGATTTGTCTTTACTGGTGGGCAGGGGTATTAGATATTTGAATTAGGCATCTGCCTTTAGTGGTGATGAAGATAGGCTGCTGCTTGTTATCCTTTTCTAATGTGCAATTCTTTTCTTTTCTTTTAATATATCTAATCTAAATTTCCATCTGCCTGTTATTGATTATAGAGTCTTGAATTAAACCATGTAAAATTTGCAGACAGGTTTTGATATGGAGGAGATTTTCCGAAAATATATTCGGTACTCCTTGAATGAGAAGCCATTTAGCCCGGATTTAATAGCATATTTAATTCAGTTGAGGAAAGCATCAATGCTGACTGATACTGAAGTAGCTGGAATACTGAACGAAATTTCACGTCGAATTGTTCAAGACAAAGGTTAGGTTTACTGGATTTCTTGTGAGCCCTTCATTCCATCTCTCCTTGAATGATCTGTTGTATGTTCTTCTAGTTTAGAAATAAGGTCTGACTACACTAGAGAAGGCCTGCTTACACCATCTCACACTGTGCACACACCCCAATAATGGGGAAGAAGTAGCAAAAATATTCTGTCTCATTGACCAAGAAGAAACTCATGTTGTTATATAGCAAATGAAGCTACCCTACCTTTTGGCTTATGGTTGGACTTCTTGATTGAGAACCTACACTTCCAAGTTCCAATGGTCTAGTGTTCTTTCTATTGGTCAAAAGTACATGGACATCAACAACAAAAGATCTATTAATTTCTGTCTGTGGAAGGATTTGAACCCTTGAAGTGCGCCCTAACCTATACAGCACATGTTGCACACTTACCACTAGACCAAAGCCCTAGACTTCATCTACTATTTCAAGGACCGACCTAAGGTCAAAAAAGATTATCATTGCAATGTGGATGTTCATCTAGGTTTGGTTTCAAATCTGTCGAACAGGCAACTCAATATTGACATCATTTGTTAGTTATTTCACCATTTAGCCGAAAGGACTTTGTGTCATGGTGTTGAGTTGTTTCCTTAATAGAGTTTTCCTCTCCCATATAAACACTTATAGGGTGTGTTTGGTATGAACGAAAAAAATGTTTTCCAATTTTCCATGTTTGGTTGGCTTAAATGTTTTGGAAAATGTTTTTCAAATCAACTTTTTTTCCTCAAATTTAAGAAAAATGACTTCCCTTCAAAAATTAAGGAAAACATTTCCAAAGCTCTATTTCATACTTAAATTGCAATATTTTGTTTTCTTATCCTACCCTATACTCCGTACCTGACCCTTCCCGTCCAAAAAAACGTAAATTTTTTTTAATTTCAAATATTTTTACCCCTATCCCCTACACCCAAACAAAAAAAAATTAAAATTTTAAAAATTATTTTTTAAAAATATTTCAAATTTTAAGTTTTTTTTTTACCTCACCCAACCCCTACCCCCTCCCCCCACAAAAAATAATGATTTTGGAATATTTTAAATTTTTAAAATTTCATTTTTATCCCACCCCATACCTGACCCCGCGACCCCCCCTCCCCCAATCAATATATTTTTTAATATAATTAATTTTTTTTCAAATTTTTAAAATTTCAATTTTTACACCATCCCTACCTCGGCACACCGTCAATTTTTTTTAAAAAAAATGGAAATTGAAAAATATTTAATGGTCTGATTTTGGAATGGTCGTCGGGTTCGTGTCCTAGTTCGGATGTCAGGGTTGGGTCCTAGATCGATTATCGACTTAGAAATTATTTTCCTAAAGAGTATTTTGTAGTCTCAAGCCAAAAATAAAAGATATTTTCTGGAAGATGTTTTTCATTCACCCAACCAAACATTAAAAAATATTTTCTACTCACCAACCAAACATTAGAATATAAGTTAGAAATCCACTTGTTTTCCAAGAACATTTTCTAGGAAAACATTTTCCTTTCATACCAAATACACCCAAAGTGTGCATAATCTGCTAAAACTTTGTATCTCTTCAACAGTTTATTTGTTGTAAACAAGTCTCTCAACTTTCAGGTCCAGTTGTTATGGATATATCAGGCTATTCCGAGAAGGGTTTGAAGCGAAAACTTGCTGTGCAAACTCTTTTTGGGAAGATATATTATCTCTCTGAGGTAAGGGCCCCCTATCAAATGAGGACCTCATCCTACTTCTTAACATATTTTGCATCAGAATGATTTCAGATGTTCCTTTTCCTTTGGTTGTGATTCATTATTTGATATCTAGATCCCTTCATTCTTGAATAACAGTCTTAGTAATTCTTTTTTCTTTACTATTTTGACTTTGAAGAGTAGCTTCTCCTCAAGTTTCCAGTTTCAAAAATGAAGAGAATATCTTCTCCTCATCTCTCATATTTAATACCCTCCTTTTGAATCTGTCATTGTATATTTTCCCTCACTTTATTGACTATGAAAAGTATATCCCCCTCAGTTTGCTTATTTTCCAGTTTCAAATGTGTTTCTTTCCAAGCTGGCTTTTATCTTTACAGAATGATCTAATGTCATAATGAGATGTAGACAAACTAGTGACTCTGGATACAATAGCATTTGCATCTCAACTTGCTTGCCCCCAGTTTTTTATCATTTAAAGCTTAAGATTCTACGTTTACGTTTAAGTAGGACATGTGAACTGCCACCGGTCTGGGATGAAGATATAATGTCTGTCATCAAAAATGTAACTTGTTAGCATCAGGTCCAAGTCAAGGCAGATCGTTGCTGACCCACATATAGAAGTACTTTCTCTATCCAAAAAAGAGTCTTCATTCCCTTTTGGTTGATCACAAAATGGTTTTCATTTTTTCCCTTATACAAGAAAAGAAAAAGCTTTCTATATAACTCGGAAGTTACCTAAGATGTATTTCTACTCTATAATATACCACTTTGACTTTATTGTATTTTCCTAAATTCAAAATACTTATATTTCCCACATTTTCCCCTAGAATTGCTAAATAACTCACTTTATTTTAGCAATTTTATTAGTATCAGTCGGGTCAAACTACGATTAGTGATTCATCTGAACTAACTTTCTTGGTAATTTCTAGAATATTGAGTTGTTGCATCCAACTTTTGTAGTGGCTCTGCATTTTTGTGGGTATTCCTACTCTAGCTCATCTTGGTTAGAGATGTAGAATTTAGTTTTACCACTGTGGACTGTAGAATTTCACTGTGATGTTTACCTCAATTGCTCTATTTGTTAAACAGCTTCCAGAATTCTGCTCAAGGGATAGCTCCTTAACTGTTAAGGAAATATTTGGAGTGGCCGAGTAAGTGACTTCTTCCAAGATTTTAGCCAATCATCGTGTGAGAAAGTAGAATTTAGCTAATCAGTCTCTGTGTGTAATAATTGTCAGTGAGGATGCTGAAAAGCTTCGGTTACATACCATCCCAGAAGCTGGGAACATGGATTCACTTGAGAGGATGGTGAACGGGTCAGATTCAGAGTAATGATTCGGCTACTGTTTCTTGATTGACGTACACTTGAGTGTAGAGAAGTTGTAGGTGTGGAGAGTATTGCAAGAGAAGTGTATTCCTTCTGCAGTGCCCAAAACAGCGGAAAAAGAAAAGTCAGAAGTAAGTCAGAACATATACCTAACCACCATGAAGCTTGTCTAGAATTGCTTCAATTTTGTGCCCACAACACTTGTGATACAAAATGCTTGTGTTTGTTGTTTCCAGGGAAAACTACTTTTTGACATATGGAGTAGTTTGAAAAATAATCATCTTCAGTTTCCATAGTAGATATAGTTTGAAAAATAATCATCATCTTCAGTTTCCATACTAGATATAGTTTGAAAAATAATCATCATCTTCGGTTTCCATACTAGATATAGTTTGAAAAATAATCATCCAAAAATATATTTTCTGCTAATTGTTTCCTAAAATATCCTCACCGTTAATACTTTGATCCAAAAGTACTCTTACGCTTGCTTCAGATTAAAAATGTCACACCACGTATGTATTGAACACTTTAATAAATTTTTTATACTACAAGTCATAATGTCCTCTTTAATATTTTCTAGAATAAGACTGTAATTACAAGTCATAACAAATTAGGATTATTTTGGGAAATTTTTTAAAATTTCAATATTTTGACATTTAATAGAATCTCTTAGCCACACTTTCAATATTTATTTAAAATATCAATATTTTAGTTTGGTATGCATCTACTTTATGTATTTTTTTATTTGTTTGATTTGCAAGAATACAATTATTTAATAACAGAAAGGAGAAAATATTTAAAAAATGAACATATCACTTAAAATTATCATCAGTTACAATTTCAAAAGAGTATCCTTTCTTATTCGACTGGATCAACAATTTCAATCTCCATTTTTCTCCCTTATCAAGATCTTAATCGTAGATGGTGAAATTAAGAACATCAAGATGTGGAGCATATTGCCAAATATATTTTTCTTTTTCTTGTATTAGAAAAATATTACTAATTGTATCACAATATAATCTAATCAATATACATGAATATGATTTATGAAATGATACATGATTTTGAAAAAAAATGGAGTACATGATGGAAATAATACAATCTGTTGAGGAAGGATACAATATTCTAAAAAAAATACAAATTGACTATGAAAGAAATAGGGATACAAGATTCTTGAAAAAAAATAGCATACATAGTGGAAATAAGATAGCATGTTGAGGAATGATACAATATTCTAAAAAAATAAATATAAATTGACTGTGAAAAAATAGGATACATCTATACTTAAGAAACACAAATCCATTTGACATACCTATTGGAATGACTACAACAACAAAAAAAATACAATATTCTTGATAAAAATACAAATGCTTGAGTAAAAGAAAAACAATTGATAAACAAAAATTAATATGAATACAATTCTAATACAAATACAATTTTTGCAATTTTCTTCTCTTACTCTCTTTTTTCTTCTTCGTATGCTATGTTCCTTTTTTCTTATTTGAATACTTCTAACACTGAATTTTTTTTTGTAAATTCAACTTGACTTGTACCTGGAACAGAGAAAAAGGGTATCCAATTGAAATCCAGGCACTTTTTTCTATTTTTCGCTTAGATGTGCTCGGCAGATGCTAAAGCCAGAGCGTGATGGCAAGAATTGATCGAGCGAAGAATCACAGTTCTCAGCTATCACATTCAGAAAGACTACTGGCCTAATTTCACTCAATTAAATAAACTATACCCTTACAAAACTTATTAGTACTCCTACACAGTTTTTTGTTCACCAAACTCAAATTTGAATCTGTATTCACTTGTGCATTAGTGACCCTTTAAGCAAAATTCAAAATTATTAAATATGGATATATAAAAAATCAAACAATATATGATGTATGAATGTCAATGTAAATTACTACAATCTACTAAATCTCAAATATGAAAACAAAATCACAAAAAAAATCAAATAATAGTGTTTAAAAGACGAAAAATCTGAAATACATAAAAGAAGAAAATCTCACAAAATACTTGGTGAATATGAAAACATACTCATAAAAAATAGAATAATATAGTTTAAAAGAAGGAAAATCCGAAATACAAAATACTTGGTGAATATGAAAACAAAATCACAAGAAATCTCACAAAATACTTGTTGACTTCGAATTTACCTTTATCAATGGGTAAAAAACCTAATTCGAAGAGATAACAATGGTGAAAAAAGGAAGAGAGATAAATTAGTGATTTGGGGTAAAACCTAGAAAGAGGGGTAAGTGGGTAATGAGGGTATTTTCTAATTTTTTTTTACCGTATAATAGAGTAAAAAAGGCCGGATTTGAGAAATAAAAGGAAAGAAGATTAGTTATATTATGATACAATTTATTTTCTAAAATATTGACATATTGACATTTTTAATAATTATTTTAAAATATAGATATTTTTAATAATTATGTTAGAGATTGTGACTAGTTTGTTAATTTTTCCTATTTTAAATTAGAATATTCTTTATTTATTACTATTTACTTTTCGTATTTAGGCCTAATAAATAGAGGACAAATATGAATGACTATTAAGTTGTGACAATTTTAGGGCCCGTTTGGCCATGCAATATGAAATCATGATATGAAGTTGAAGTTTTGTTTGGACATGCGATATGAAATTTTTGTGTTGTATATTTTCTCATAAACATGAGAATCTCATAAATTGTAAAACTATTAAAATAGTCCAATTGTTTATTCAATCTTATCAAATAAACAAAAAATTATAAAATCGCATAATAAATTATTACAAAGCTATTTGTTCTCTATTTAAGTAACTGTTTCATCTAACTTTAATTGATTAAACTTTAATTTAATAAAAAAAAATGAACATAAATTGTAGGGTACTAGTCTTTAATATAATCCTCTCACATAGTACGCACAATCTCTTCACGTTGAACTTGCATTTCTCAACCTTATGACGGAGAAGACGAACCAACATTGTTACTTTGAGCCATTTGTTGATCAATATCATTCACAACTATATCTTCATGCTCATAGACCATAAAAATTTCATAACTCTTTTGGTATTCTCGCAAATAATTATATAGCACTGTATAAGCCATGAATTCACTTGTGTGTCAATATCATATGGTTCATGTTTTGTTTCACTTTTGTGGAATTACACATTTTCAGTGCATTAATTTCATGTTAAAATCAAACATATTGGAAGTAGTGATTATCAAACATATATACATCATCAATTTTGTCCTTTTTTCATATTAAATTGCTTTAAACATTTTCATATGTAGCCGAAAGAGAATTCTTTTTTTTATGAGAACCCAAAAAGTATTACTGCCTCAGTTCTTATTTATATTCACCAAAACAATTCCTACGTTATTGTTTATATTCACCAACTTTAAAGTATAATAAATTTTATGTTAGTGAAAATAATAAATTTTAAAAAGTAATGATGTGATTATTAATTTTATTTACATATGAAAAAATTGGTTAATAGATATAAATGTGAGGTTGTTTTAATAAAATATAAACTTGTGGGTTAACTTTTGTATTTAAAAAAATCCCAAATCATGATTTTGGTGAATATGAGATTCCATCTCATGATATGAAATCATAAGATAAAATCAATGTGAAATCGCATGTCCAAATGCTGATTCCATCTCATAATTTCATAACGTAATATAGTATCGCATGTTCAAACGGCAACTTAAAAATTGAGGAGCAAATCATCCATTTTCAAAAGAGAACAGTTTTCATATTGTCTCTCCTCCTTTGTTTTTTCAAAAAATTCGTTGTTAAATAACCTCTCCCCTTTTTCTACTTCTAATCAATTTTCTTGTGTAATTGTGGATTTTTCAATCCTATTTCGTGAATTTATTTGACACACGTCTTCTCATTTTTAATTTGGTATTTTTTTTGAGGAATTCTCCTCATAATTGACTTTCTACGAAAATATGAGTAGAAAATCTCTATTGAAATTTGCTCCTCGAAACAGCCCAAGAATACCTGTGTTTACTAGAACCTTTCATCGTGATTTCCCTGTCTGCCCCTAAAGTCACGATTTCATTTACATAAATACACTTTTCATCATTGTTTGCCCAATCATCCTAAATGAAGAAGATTGGATGAGTCATCCAACATTTGCCATTAGAGTGTTTAATAACTTTTGAATCGAGAAAACATCATTGACAATAATTTTGAATCTCATGTTGAAATTTTAGAGTTTCAATCGAAAAAGTTATATGGAATTATGACTGGATTGGAGTGTGATTTTTTTCGATTCAATCTCACCCAATTCTCCATCAAGTTGAGATGAGTGTATGAATTTGCGTATAAATTTTGTATAGATTAGTAATAAAAGATTTTTGAGAATTGACATGTATATTTCATGTGTATGAATCTGATTTTATTCAACTATGTATTGTATTAAAATACTATATAATATGGTATACTTTTTTTTTATATCATTGTAGATACAACATATATTAGTGTATGAAATATGTATGTATATATATGTATGAAATGGATATATAATGTGGTATATAAATGGGAAAATTGTATATAATAGCAAACTATTAATTCAAATTAAATGCTATAAATATAGTTTGATTTAATTGTACCCCATAACAAATTATTGCTATTTAACCTCTCTCCTGGTGAATCTCGCTCGCCACTCTCGTTCTCTCCCTCACCTCTCTCGTTTTTTATACAAACGCAAGTGTATAAAGTGCGTTTGTGTTTGTATAAAGCGAGAGAAAATTGTATATATACATATATTTTCGTTCCCCTCTCTCCCCTCTCCCAGATCTCGCTCGCCACTCTCCCAGATCTCGCTCTCTCACTCGCCTCTCTCACTTTATACAAAAACCGCAAATTGTATAAAATGTGTTTGTGTTTGTATAAAGCGAGAGAAAATTGTATATATACATATATTTTTGTTCCCCTCTCTCCCCTCTCCTAGATCTCGCTCACCACTCTCCCAGATCTCGCTCTCTCACTTCCCTCTCTCACTTTATACAAAAACGCAAATGTATAAAATGCGTGAAAATTGTATATATACATATATTTTCGTTCTCCTCTCTCCCCTCTCCCAGATCTCACTCACCACTCTCCCAGATCTCACTCGCCACTCTCCCAGATCTCGCTCGCTCACTCGCCTCTCTCACTTTATACAATTGATCTTTTTGTATATATGTGTACAAAACAGATTATACAACTGCTTTCTTTTGTATATGTATAGCAAAATATACATATTTATGTTTGCTATGGAGCGCAATTATGCAAAGTTTGCTATAGCATACAAATATGAATTTTGTGTTTGCTATATTTGAAAATTGCTCTATATAAATTGA